TCTGTTTTAGTTAATCGATTTGACCATAGTGGCTCTTATAATGTTAATTGAAGATTCCCATTCAGAAATACAAATGGAAACTTTACAAGACGAAGTTTTATTGTTGACTTTTCAGTTATGTAACGGTTAAAAAATATATACTTTTAACACTATGCAATATTCGTTTATTCCTAAATAGTATACGTACAATAGGACCTCAATTCAGCGAGTTATTCTTTGCAATTGAAATTATCCAATCTTGATTACCTTGGAAATCAATAATTCGAATTATTAACTTACTTGGAATACACATATACCTCCGAATTGTACAGATCTGAGAAATCTCTTCTGGAGTCTCAATTTATTTGAACTATTACTCATCCAATTAAATCGATTAATCAAGGTTTTATTGAACTATGTTCTTTACATTGTCTGCGAGGAAGAGAGAGAGAAGAGAAAATTCATTGAAGGAACTTGACAAATTCCCAGTGAAAAATTTCCCAGGTATTTTCAGACGCAGCGCGTCTATTTTTCAACTGTCCCTAAGCGGGATGAGAAGAAAAAAGATCGAAGAGGGAAGAAAGAGTAAGCGGGCAACAAGAACACACCTATAACAGGGAAATTCGATGTCGCGCCCTAATTGGCGTTTATAGTACACAGGGGTGCCATGCCTCAGCTCTTGTTATATTGCCACTGTAATGAGCTACGGGAAATCGGAGAATCATTATACACTGAATTTTCTTACCTTTCCCTCTTTAACTTTTCGTACGCCCCCTTATGCGTCTCTTCTCGCTAATTTCAGTGCCGCGTTGCCTTATGATCGACACTGGAACAACCAGCTTATTGATTGATATGATTGATGGATTTTAATGTATCGCGTTGTGTTATATGCAGAGTTCTAAGAATGACTGATGGAACATAAACTGGCATATACGCTCGTTTCCTTATTCTGACTACAGTCAGAACTCCAATGAAAACTATTGAATATTTTCAATGTAAAATAAGAATTTTGAAATCCGTCGTTTTGATAGGGTGTAAATTTCATTTCATCTAGTAGAATTTTTTTTATTGCCCTTCTTGATCTATTATTGTTGAAAATTTCATTTATTTAGACAAAATGTATGAAATGAAACAGAGGCAACTATCGATAGAACAACTCCATAATTTGTCGTTTTGTGTTTAGAATATATAATTTCAACTTTTGAGTTTTTACCGAGAATATGTTTTAAGTCCACCTTTTTACCAATGGAGTAGTAAATAAATGCCATAGATTTAAATACCGACAAAAAACAGAATAGACTCGACACCTTATGAGACTTCCAATGGTCTAAAAAATGTAATATTGAGGTAATAAAATAAAAAAGAACATTTTTTTTTATTTATTTGTATTTACAATAGAATTGGCAATAAGAGCCATCTATGGATTTGAGTGGATAAAATTATAATCAATTAAAAGAAAAATGGATTCCAAACTGCATGGCAATATTTATGAAACAAGTTAATGTAGTTGTTCATTACGTTCCAATCAAAGACTTATTGTCTTAATTAAACAAAAACTGATTTAGTATTCCATTATAAAACCCATAATTTATACTCTGTTGGTAACGTTGTAAGAAATACGAAAATGATAAAGGGGTCGTATAACCCCCTGGCTATGGGACAAAAATTTATATTGTATGTCCAGTTTATCCTGTTTCTCATCTGTGACTTAAATTATAATAAAGATTATATAACAATATAATTTTTTGCCTACTGCTCTGAAATATCGATAGAACAAAGTGACCTAATACACTAGCGGACTCTATTTGAATATCGAAGAGTTAAGATGTAGGCAAATGCACAAACACTAGAACTACCGAGCACTTAAACCGTCTTTTTAAAATTTCTTTATAAAAGCTATAAGCGTGAATTTATTAAGATTTCAATTGGCTTATATATCAATTTAAATATTACTAAATTAGTTTCCATAATAATTTTTGAAACAAGTATTTAGTATTTATTTATCACCTTTTGAATTTTTAACTTAAAATTATTTTCCAAAATTTAGTCGTATATTCCGTATTGAAATTTCAAAAATTTATATATTTCTATCTTCGATATTCTGAAATATCGACGTGGTTAAAACTTCCTACACTATTAGCAAGTAAGTCGTAAAACTTTTACAATGTTTGCTTAAATTAGAAAAAAAATAAAAATTAAGATAGAGACTAGTTAGAAACAGAATGATTCCTGACTTATTTTCTCTGAAGCTTTTTTCACTTCTAGGGCATCGAATTGAAATTCAAAAAAATTCATTTTAAGACAATTGTGTATACAATTTGTGTAATAAATGGATGAAGGAATTATTACCTTGTTTTTCCTAAAATTCTCAAATATAATCGGCAACTTCAGTATTTTCTTTTAACTTCTCGACCGAACACTGTTTCAACTCATGCCTCGTAAAAAATCGTATACAATGCACACGTGTGTTTCCGGGAAACGGCGAAAATGATTCTCGAAATAGAAGATGAAACTCGCGATTTCGTTACGATTTACCAAACGGATTTTCACCAGAAAAGGGCAGAGCGACGGAAGGAATACAAACCGAAATCCGCGTACCCTCCACCCTTGAACCTTTTAAATGGACCTTATAAAAAATGTCTGAACACTCGTCGGAAAAATGTGTCGCTGCCTTTAGAGGAACAAACCGAAGATCCTCAAGAATATTTAAATCGGGTAAAATACCAACAGTGAAGGAAACGATAAATGTTAATTGTATTAGACATTTTCCGCCTTTATCATTACTATTTCTTGTGTGTTGCCTAATCGTGGAAAATATTTTTCACAATAATAAATTGTGTAATTGAAGCACGCTATTATATTTAACCCTTTGCACTCGAAAGTGTCTCACTGGAAATATTCAACATTTTCTGACGAGATATAGATGACATTGTTTGAAACCGATTTAACGATAATTCACAGATGAATTAAGCTACAGCGCTATTTTATTTAAATATTTCACATAGCAATACAAAGTTTCATTTAGAATAAATGTTCAACTTCATAGTTTTGCTGCAATAAACCAAGTGGTGAAAGTCACCTCTCGAGTGCAAAGGGTTAAAATAGTTCGAAATGACAATAAACAGCTGTAATACATGAAACATACAGGAGCGTTTATTTATAACTACATTTATATTTATATTTATAACATTTTTATAGCAATGAATAATACTAAGTTTAGATCCGTGAGAAGTACCTGCATTTAAGAAACTTCCTTCCGGAAATGGTGCCACACGAGGACTTGATCGAGCGGAAAGAACACGAATCGACGCAAACTGTGTACAATTTGGATTACTCAAAGGGTTCTTACGTATCTTGCTCAAATATTTGATATTTGTTAGAAAGTAGTGGATAGTGATATTAATTTTATATAGAACACATGCTGTAAAGTTATTATTGAAAGTACTCATTAACCCCTTGCCCTATGATTGGTTTCTCAACGATGACCAATAGAACTACTTCGCCGTTAATAATTTATTGAAAAAAGAAAAAAATTCGATGGGTTTTCTATGTCTACGTTTGTTCTACAATATAGTAATTGACGACAGAAGAATAATCTTTCATTTGAATTGAAAGGAATCGAGTAATGTTTATGTTTGTTCAATTCTATTTGAAGTCTTCGCCACGAGTCTTGCACGTTATTGTAAGGCAACGGGTTAATTTGTTCACTATTCACTGTTTATGTAATTATTTTATTTGTTTACACATACTAGGTGATTACTCTCCTCGAGTGAATATACACGGAAGATGGAAAGATATACCTTTACCGGAAGACTGGGCGATATCGGAAACGATTCAAGGAAAATCGTACAGGAATCCGTGGAGAACTGCTTCGAAGAATTTATTGCGTGTCAGGAGAGTCGAGAAACCTGCGGATAATATAGTACCCAGTGAAAAAGAAAGAAAAATTCTTCGCGTAAGGTGAGAAATCATTCTCTTTCTTGTATATCACAGCTTAATATTAATTATAAAAGAAATATTATTATATGTATAAAAATGTTTAATTAATGTTCATGACAATAATGGTTGGTCAACTTTGGTTATCCTATGAAAATAATAAGTTACAAACGAAATTTTTACGTTTACGATTTTGGAGAAAATCATTTAAATGTACTCGAAAAGGTTCTTTTATCCAATTATTTGTTTTTCAATTCAAAAGTGTACTTTTGCAGAAATTAAAAATTTTACGTTAGTGAAATTTACTTAAATACGTTGAAGTGAACGTAAATGAAATTTAAAAAATGCAAGAACTTATTTTCCATAATGAATGTTCTTTAGAACTGGAGAGTCTGAATACGAGGCTACAATTGCTGCTACTGGAAATAAAATAATAGAAGAAAAGCCCATAGGAGAACCATTGCCAATTGACCCAAAAATATATATGAAAGGATCAAACATTCAGCCTGAATGCTTGACTTAGATCTAATATTTTCTAATTTCGTAATTTATGTGTTGAAAAGCAAAAAACTGTATTTCTCTAATAATAACCATTAATAAAATGTACACTTAAAATTATGGGTGAAGGAACTATGCCGATTAAATTACCACAAAAAAATTATTATAAAACACAACCTGCGTTGTTTTATTTGTAATTTTACTTAGTAATTTTACAAATATATTATTTCCTATTCTCACCCGACTTAAGTATCAATTTACACATATTCACACCCACGCTGAACACACACATTATTATAGTAATCGGTGCAAATCGTACATTTGTTATGTTACTGATTATTTACAAGCATGAATAATCGTAGTAGTAGTCATTTCATAAAAGACCCCTTGTGAACACGAAATGTTATTTTAAACCTCATAAGAGAAAAGTACAATATTATTTACATCGCGTTGTGAAGTTCTAAAAATGTCTATCATGAAAGATATTGCTTTGTTTATTCGCCCTTTGAAACTCTTTTTCAATTAACTCTGAACATTATACAAAATTATTATATTAATGTTAACTGTAAAATAATTAAGTTCTTAGATAATAGTGCAAAAACATTTTAATGAGCTTAGTATACAAATATCGTTACACCTTTTTTTAATTTTTCCTTTTCAATCATTTTGTCAAATATTCGAACAATTTATAATTATACATAAAACAAATGAATCAGCAATTATAATAAAATTTCAATAATTTGAACAACCAATAAGATGAATTATGTGACGCTTAGTAGGTTCCTCCTATCGAATCGAATTAATAAAATATTAAATGTATTATTTATAATAAGCCACTGCACGTATTAGGAGTAACCTTCTTATAATGTATTCTTAATAACTAACTATATCCCATAAAGCTTTTCTCATTAGACTAAATGAATTGTACTTGCACTCAAAAAATATACAAAAGTCTTATCGATGCACTCTTCTTCACGTAATCATTGAAATGGAAGTCAATGACTAATTCATTTATAAAATCTATTCTATAAATGGTACCCAGCACGTAATAATAAATTATATTTCAGTCTCTCGATCCAATGTAACGATACATTTGTTATATGAAATTGTACAAACATTTTACACCCGATATGTTACAGTGCAAAGTTTAACATGTATGTATACAAAATGTGCGATAGAAAAACACAACAAAGCCGTAACGCATTTTTTTCCCCTTACGAAAATATCAAATGCGAATCGTTTCATTTTTTGATCAAGTTTATCATCGTACCAGGACACGATACCGCACAGTAGTATTATCAGGTCTGTATGAGACTATATATAAAAAGAAGCAGAAGAAAAAATGTAAAAGTTAAGCGCTTTTACAAGCGTATTATATACAACTTTGATAACTGTTCACAGCTTTTCCTTGTCCTCGATAATTATATTTGCGCTATATCTCAAATGAAGATGAGTATTATTTACAAAGGTGTTCGCTCAAGACTAACGCAAATATAAATAGAACTCCATCACTGACACATTTTTCCTCGTTTGTTTTTTATATTACCTACTTCATCCAGTTTAAATATTTATCTATAGTAAGCGATTGTTCGATGTAACAATATCATCTTCAGAAATCATATCCTGAAGAGGAATAGCCGGTTTCTGTAAAATAAAAGTGAAATTATTTACAAAACTATTCTGAAATCTATCCGCCACTATTACAGTATAGATATTACACTTACTTCTATAACGATGGTGGATGCCATATTATCTGTGTCGTGATACTGTACACCTACATTTGCTGCTGCTATTGCTATAGTACGAACGGTATTGGTGCTGGTCGAAGTTGTGATGTGCTGGGTTATCATGGAGTTTTCGCTTGCTCTACTGGAACCATTACACTCTTATATGCGTAAAATATTGAATGAGACACTGTGTTTGCTTTGTACAAGAAACAAAACAGGTAATAAAGTAATAACAGACACTTACTTTCGTTTCTTTACTTGTCCAGAATGAAAACGACCGCCTTCACCACGAATTCTGTTCATTGCGTGCCGGTGACGGGACTCGTGAAGGTATTTCTAAATAATAAAATAAAATGAAATAAATTTAATACAAGGTGGTGCATGAAAGATGCAGTTTCAAATGAAGAACCATAACTTACTGGTCTTTCTTTAGGTATTTTTCCTTCAGCCTCTAATTTAGCACGAGCTTGACGGCGTTTCAGTATACGTCTGTATTGTTTTGCATTTACATATAAAGGTTCTTCTTCAAAAACTTCAGCGTTAGGTAATGCTACCCTTTGAAACTGCGTTTGTCCACTATTTCCCGGTACCATCTAATTATAAGAAAAATTTCCCATTACTACATTTTTCAGTAAAACCATTAATTTACGTATCTATAACTATTAGTATTATTATTGCATTCATTGTATATTTATTACAGTTTATATTGTCATTCATTGTTGATACAATATTCATTGTAAATAATGTTGCTCCATAATCACTACAAGTCAGTATAATATATATACACAGACTATGTAAGTGAAAGAGTCATTCCACTAGTACCATGACAACATTTCCTGCCTGTGATGCTGTTGCTGTAGGACTTGCTAAAGGCTGCACTGGTGTTGTAGTTGCTGCTGTAGTTGCTGTCTGTGACGTCGTCCCAGCAATTTGCATAAGGTTTCCATTGATGTTAATTACTACAAATAATTACAAATAATTACAAATAATTACAAATAAAACAACTTTTATAAAGTGTTCAATACAGAATCAATTAAATTGTATACCTGTTGGTTGCGTTTGCTGCACTTGGCCTTCCAATTGAACTGGTTGATATATATACGTTTGTCCATCTGGAGTTTGAATGATTTGTGGTGTCTGCGGCTGTTGAATCACAATCTGCTGTCCTGTACTAGTCAAACTCGAAACTGGAACAACTTGTATCTGTCCATTAGGTGCAGCTACTTGTATCGCTTGTGGCAACATCATCGCTTGGCCCCCTTGACCCATTTGGACAACCTGTACAGTTCCACCGGCACCGCCGACCACAACTGCCTGTCCTTCTCCGAGTTGTTCCATTGCAAGTCCTTCCTACCTCTATACGAAAGACAAAAACCTTATAACACAAACTACTTTTACATTATAAAAAATCACAAATTGGTGAAAATGACTTCCTCTATATTAACATAAATTACTGCAAACTTAATAATCTCACATACATATATGCACGCCACAAGGACGAATTTCTGTACAAAGATAAACACATCATATATACTATCATGAATCATATACAAAACAATCGTCTTTGTTTCGTCGAACGAGGGTAAATAAGAATAGCGTTCGATCGCGTAGATCGAAAGGTTAGGCATTCAACGTAACGGACAATTTTCTAAAACGCAATTCATGGATGCAATCTCCGATAAAGATCGCCAACGTGGCGAGCACACTGGGGTTTGAGAGCCCACGTGCGGAATGTTAGATACGTGGGACTGTGAATCGAGGCCAGACAGCAATCATCACCTTCTGTCGGGCAGGAATCGCTTCCGAAGGATATCGTGTCCTGCTCTCGCTGGCATGATTAACCTTGTATCCTCGTGATGCTTAACGCGCGAACGTATAGGTAGAAGAACGGGTTGACTCGGTGGTAGACGGAACGCGACATACTCGGTAACGAATGACGCGGATTTCGGGCGAGAAACGCTCGTCTCGACAAACATGGCCGTGCAGAAAAGCTTTTTCAACGTCGGAAAGACGCGAGCTCGCACTCGGAACGGTTTACGGAACGAGAACACGGTTAATCGTGCAACCGTGCGCGGCTGTACGCGTACCCCGTTGATGTTTGATAATTTGTGGACTTACATTGGATATTTTCGTGGGCACTTTCCCAATGATTGGTCGGCAAATTGAGGACCAATGGTCGACGATAGAGAGTCCTCGGCTCTTGTGTATTGGTGGTACTGAACGGGGGGACCTGCCAGTCCGATAGCAGCCCGATGCCACACCGGTCGATGCCCCTCCGCGCCTCGACGCGCCTAACCAATCTACTGGCTTGACTTATCCCCACTCCGGTCTTCCCGCGCTCTCGTCAAACTTCGCGCGTTCCTAACAGCTTATTTCCCGCTTCCTTTTAAATCGATCTGCCAATTCGCGATAACGATTCACGAGAGATTTCATGTAGCTCTGTTCGTCATTTGTTTGTTAGTTAAAAAAAATAGATAACGAGTTTAGTTCTAACATACGTGGCATTTTACAAAACTATAAGCGAATTATTACTAACGAACGTAATATCGTTTATTACTTTTGACTATGTCTTATGAAGCGTAAATATTCTGATACTGTGATCGAGATAAATGTAAAATGATTCGGAGGATAAAAATATAGATATGGAAATATATTTACTGTGAACGCTGTAGGTTATATGTAATAATTGCTTCGAAGATTAAACTAAGAAGCAAGAGCAATGTTTAGGAATCTAAACTTTTGGAGATATATTTTTGCATCTGAAAATTTTGTTTTACAAGGATCTTCAAATTTCAGTGTCATGTGAAGTTTGCAAGTTTTACTGTAGATAAAGATTTAACCAACTTTAAGGCATGTATCACTTTTGTATTATTTATTTTAACTAAATCATAGGTGGATAATCATATTTGAATACCATATTTATATTTAATGGAATGACGAGGATCAAGATACAGCATAATTAGATTACAAAAATTGTGTATTTTACAAAGATAAGCAGCACATATTAGTGATTATATTGCATAAGAAAATATAGCATGAAGTGATGTACGAGGAAAAATATGCGATATTAAAAGAAACTGATATTTTCTTAAGTATTTGAATATCATTCTCATAATATAGGTAATTTTACAATTTTAATAAATTTTATTTAATGGAAATACGAATTCATAGATTCATTGCTTGTATAACCATTTTTATTTTATTTCAATTTTTTCTATGCACAAAATAGTATATAATGATTATGATTAACTTTCAGTTTATTACACTGTTTATAAATGAATTACGTATGATAATTATATAACAATTCAACATAGTTTTAGAAAAATACATAATTAACGAATTTCAGTTAATGTAAAGCATGTACCAGAAAATTGGCAATTATAAAATAATATATTATTAATAAAACTAATTAATAAAAATATCACAAACCTTTGAATTAGGAGTTTATAATATGTATACTTTTGGCATTATAAAAACACTTTTCTAATATATAAACATTACGAACAAAATTGATATGATAAATGAAATATAGTTTAATGTAGGCAATAAGAGATACTTAAGCCATTTCTACTTCTGAAGACTTACTGTAACTATTTGTTATTTACCATTTTCAATATCATTTAATGTACATGAAACAGTTCATTAGAAATTGATAGAAAACTAAAAATAATTTACGTCTTAATAAAACCTGAATTTTCCATGTAGCTTATGTGTTTAACGCATATCTGAAATTATGTTAAAGTAGCATTTGTGGTACTTATTTTCCAATGTATATCTTAGTGAAGAGTAATAACAGTGAATCAGCTTTTTACAATATAGTATATAAACTATGTAAAAGTATTGCCAAATTCAGTTCGTTCGCTAGGAACTAATGTTTTGGAAACACTTTCACATGTAACATTTCAAAATAGCCTTGTACATTCAGCAACCATGAAGCAATTAACATGTTATTATTATGATATAGTACTTGAACTTCCATCTATGATACATCTTAATTATCATTTCAGTTGATATTTGTGATCAAATAAATTCTGAAATTATTTCAGACTGTGATTAAAGTATTGGAAATTGATTTTGAAAATATATATGTTGTGTTCAATGTCATGTGGTACATAAATTTCACTCAAACAGGATGCAATTATAATCCTGCTGAGGAAATATTGAAAGATCACGATAAGAAAGGAACAACTAAGTCCTCTTTGTGTTCAACTTTTACATCTCCTAAAGCTGTTACAGCCTTACTGACCATTTCGGTAATCTGTAAAATATTTAAATAATTGTTTACATTCACAGAAATTCATATAACATTATTTACCAGTCCATGGTCCCCAGATCCTAGAGGATCAGCAGCTAATATTCTTTCTGGAGCAGGAATATCTTTAAGTAGGCAAGATGTGCTATGTGGAATTTTCACTCTTTCAGCTTCAATGCGTTTAGAGTATCCTCGTGATCTGTCCATACATTCATGCTGTTCCAAATTATGCGAATCCATTGCTCCAACATCTATTACGTTACTGAAGCAGAATTATTGAACAAATATTTATAACTATTTTATGAATTATGCTGCAACAAAATTAAGCAAATGGAAGCAACATAAATGTAAAATCCAAGAAAGACAAAGAAACACTCACGCTGCTGTTTCATTTAAAATTCTACTTAATGCGGTTTGCTCATCTGTCTTCTTGGGTACAGAGCTTGCATATTGGTTAACATAATCATCACTGAAAGAGAAACAAAGCAAAAAAGCTTAATACCTAATACTATACAATTTTATGAAAGATGAGATATACCTATGCACTCTATGTATATTTGTGTTATTGCTGACAGGATCTACCAACAAGTGTGTCCTCTCATTTACTTCTCCACTCTATAAGAAAAAATTCAAGAACTGGTAATTTTACATATTAAATAATTCAAATATATTAAACGATATCACAATTTTACTTGTTTTAACCTTTAAAAAGATGATTTAAGTAAATATATATCTATATATATATTCTGAGTAGGCGGAATCATGATAAAAATTCATACGCTTCAACTGCATATCAAATATTGTGATAAGGTAATGTTCTAAACAACTTTGATTAACATAATTTTCTATATCTCCAGGATTATTACCTGCGGACCGCTGTCCTCTTTGCAAAAGCTGTAACAACATCCCATACTTAGGCGTATCAATGAGACAATTTCGCGAAAATTACGTATTGTTAGAGTATATTATTTTTTCATCCTCATTCCTGTAAACAATCGAATGAATCAGCTGTAGACGTACTGAAACTGCGCTCTACCACTATCCACAAGTAAAATATACTGGGACGTGTGACAACCTTTTTAAACCAGACACGAAAACTCTAATAAAAAAATGTCCAGCACATATGATGCATCCCTGGCGGAGCTCATAGTGTACTAAATCGGACAACATAACCCTCAGTATTCTGAAGTCAATCGACCTATGAATTTCGTGCATTTTCTTATAGAATCATCAATTAAGCTATTAAATTGTACAATATTAAAATTCTTATTATCTAACGGCATATTCGTAAGGAATCGTAATCTACAGTGTTAAATGATAAAACAGGATACAAAAATAGAAATATGACTTTTCAAGTTGCCATATAAGCTCTATTGAGAGTTACATATCATTTTCTGAACAAGTTTGTATAATAAATACATACACAACTAAATTATAATCATCGCATTTTACTAAATTTTTAATCGTAATTGTAGGGCATTAAGCAAAGTTAACATTTCCAAGGCAGTTAACAATCATAATTACAACATGTCAAGTATAAAGGTATCTATTCTTTTAATTATTGTTCGCATTTTTATTATTTTTAGATATACCATGTATATTTTAATTTGGAAATAACGCATAATTTTATTTTCAGGAATTGCCTGAGCTACAAGTCTTCAAAACAGTATTATTTCATTGTGTAGTCATAATAGCCTTACCTGTATTATCATTTTTTACTAGCAAGATATTTATCTTTGATGGTAGGAAAATGATTAATATTATTATCTGAATATTTAATTGTTCATTTATATTATTGTTAAAACATATACTAATTAACCTTTTATAAATATTCAAGTAATTTTAGAAAGATTAAATAATGATGACACATGCAGTTGCATGAAAAAAAGTTTATAATTTTTTCTATTAATTGGATCTTGTATCTCCTCAGTTTTATTTTATTTTTATTGTAATCAATGCTTTCCTAATTATTGTATGTTGAAACAAGTAATATACCAAATTGCATCATATATTTTTTAATTAATGATTAATTAGCATGCATTACGTCTAAGTGAACATGTTTTTAAGGATTAAATATATGGTACAAATTGAAACGAATTTTTTTTGTACATTTTAGGTTTATTGGGGCTGAATCATGTGCCAAGCAATGTATATTCAGCAGGAGTCGCGATTCTCGTGTTACACGTGGCTCTCGGAGCATTTATATACCGTGCATACTTTGATGATCAAACAAAAACACAAACGAAACAAGACTAAGCCTTCTTTTGTGTTTCACATATGTATGTACTTAAGTACACCTTAATAACATATTTATTCGCGTATACTTGTAGAAAGAAAGATGTTACATCATATTGTATTGCATTCTGCAATTCTCATACTTCCCATCAATGTTTAAGTAATTCTTTTTTTCTTTTTTCCTTTTTTTGATGGATATGGTGATATAATATATAGATGGCAAATATATCTGTACTTAGTTAATGCAAAACACAATTGTTAAATAAAGAGCAAGGACATTCCCACACAAAACTTGCGTATTGTACAGCACAAACTTTGTAACATTCATACATCTATTTGGAATATAATTCCGTGATATACTTTGTTTTAAATTCAAATAATTTTGCAATAGATCATTTTATAGTGTTTCGAGGTATCCATAATACCTGATGGATAAATTAATTGTAGTGCACTTCGTGATCACAGTACTATGACAATTAGGGGCAAATTTGCAATACTTACAATTTTTAGGCTTA